GACACACACTTTTAGCTGCCCCGAAAAAAGGCCCAGGCTTACCTGCATCTTTTATGAAGAGCTACGGCTGTACACGAGGAGACGAGTGTTTATTTTTTCATAACATGTTGCTTCCTAATGTAGCATAATTACTTTCCCCCTTCTTGTAGCAGCAAGTGCAGCGAGCGCAGAGCGAGTGCTCTAAATAGCGTCGTCTGTTGTGGAGCGTGTCACTGTATGACCAGTCGAGTCGGCGGTTTGAAAGCCCACTACTTCCCTTGAGGTGAGGAGCTGAGGTTTAGATGTCACTAAAACACGTCCTCAGATTCTGTGGTTTGACACCACATTAAAGACAACAAAACACATGTTCAAAGTTCCAAAGCGAGAAGGGGAAAAGTAATTTAGCTGAAAATAAACTTTTGAAAGAAGTAAAATTTCCTTTCCTAAAGGAGGTCAGAGGCTCACGCTGAGAAGTGCATATCGTCTTACTGGTCCAGAGTGTTTGCAGACTTTTGATGAAAAGGGGCTGTTTGGCCCTACCCATGCAGACCACCACAACTTCAGATCAGTGTTTATCTGGGAGTAGTGGGCTGCTGTGAGCGAGTCCTACTGCCAACAATATCTTGTGGTGCTCTACAGGGGTCCCCCCCCCCCTCCGTCCTTATTTCAACACAGACCACAAAGTGGAGGGGAGAATGCACGCTCATAGCTTAGAATTTGAGCCGAGTGCCACCCACATGCTTTCTGGTCCACAGAGAGCCGTTGCCATGGCACTGCTCTTTACAACACACTGACACACACAGAACTAAGTTCAATATTCCACTCTCGTTTTCCCCTTTTCTACATGTGGGTGGGGTAATGGTGGGTGGTGGCGGGGGCCAGTGAGGCCATTATTTCAACATGGCTGTTTGCTTATGGCCTATTAGGGGGCAGAGGAACCAGAAGGTGACTCAGCATTTTCGGGAAGGGACAAGACGGACAGAGTCGTTGGGCTGTGAAAACCAAGGGATGTTACAGACCGATTTACAGACTGCTGCTTGATTTCAATCCAAAAGGATTAGTCAGTAGTGTGAGGCTGTACATGTGTGTGTGTGCGTGTGTTTGGTGTCTGTCAAGTTTGTACGCCGAGGCCCAGACAGACTATAATTTTGTAAGAACCGTGGACAAATAAATCTGGGAACAGTGCACAAATATTCAAAGACATGCATACACACAACTCTGACCAGCATGGCTGCCTGTGAACAAGGTCAGTGTGTGCCCTCCGAAAGAAAGTGACAGCATGGCAAACAGAATGAAGGCCGGAGGGGGAGCCAGGGTGGTGGGGTGAGAAAGGGGAAGAGAATTAAGGTGGGAGGGAACCAAAGTACTGGAGAGGCCTTTGACAAAAATGTTCCCTCACTAGCCAACATCAAACGCCTTGGCTATCACAGTGGGGAGCCATGGAGTTTGTTGAAATAAACGCAGCATTAAATAAACAGAAGACTCTAAGGGCCACGTCTAAAAACAGGTTTAGAATGTAGACCGGTAAACTTTTCTGTTGCTCAATTCTCTTCCTCTGTGCTGCACCTGTCTCCTGGAGCTCACACCCCTCATATGGAACCCAAAATACATTTGACGCCTCACTTCTAACTATATGGCCGTCACCATATGAAACGATTACCAATTATAGCACTGTTGCCACACACTCTGCACTTTAGAAAGTGGGGGGAAAGGGGTTCAGCGTGTTGCTTAAATGCTCCTCTTTTATCTAATACTATAGGTTACAGAACACCCCTGAGGCTAAATGGATCTGGTCCGTTGCTCAAGGACGCACAACGTGAGGGCTAATTTCACACTCAAAGCGTTCAGTCCTTGGCACATGGCCTCAGTGAGATTTTGGACTTTGTGGTGCCACAGTGTTGTTATGTTGAACTTTAACAGTCATAAATGAAACCATCAATTCAACTCCATCTATCCCACTCAGCACTGTCTCGTTTGCCTTTGAGGTTTAAGGGGCTGCCTAACTAAGGTCAAGGCTGCCGAGGCTCAATGCCAGCAGACCAAACAGGTGCAACCGAGCTGCAGAGACATGGAGGGACAGGGAAGGACACAGAGGAGGCAGCAGTTTTTATCTGAAACAAAACGCATAGTTAACTCGTCTTTAAGACAGAGAAACCTAAGCAGTACTTTAACTAAAGACATGGATACAAATGGAAATAAACCCTCCTTAATGCTTGATGGTTTTGCACAGCTCTGCTGGTATTTAAAAAAATAAAAAGGAACACAATCTAAGAATAAACAATGCAATCTCTAAAACCTGAAAGACTAAAAAGGCCAGAAGGCAGTGCTGAGCAGTCTCCTTAAATGTCACGACTTTCCGATGTGTCTGGACAGATGATACTGCAGTCCATCTTACCACAGATTACTGTATAAATACCTTCAATAGGGAATACCGCAATACTGGCTACACCTTCTGTTAAATGTTATCCATGGAGTCTAAATCACAGCATTTGCATTTTTTTTAAAGTCATCTCCAGACTGTAACTTTGAATGCGCCAAAAGTAATACCTGGACTCAAAGTTTTCAGGCGGCACCGAGTCAAGAGATAAAAAAATGAAAAATGTCAGAGCAAAGCTTTGAACAAATTGACTTGCTGCAGTGCCAAGAGGCTAATAAAATGCAGCACATTGACTGCAAATGCCGCATATTAGCTCTTAGGCGATGAAATGTGGGAGCTGTGCTGCGACAACATCTAGTGTTGATTCCATTCTGTCAGTGACTGTGCTGATACAACAGTTTCAGCTATTATGTGTTGGAGCAATCAGCACGAGAAAATGAAAAATAAATAAATAATACATTTCAAACTGCAGCCCTGTTGTGCTTTCACTTACGGCAGCTTGACGGGGAATATACCGTCAAACAGACACGTGTTCAAACAAGAAAGAAAAAACGGAAACTAAGAAGATTCCAAACATAGAGGCCGTCACTTAGATGCACAGCTGATCTTTAATTTTGTGCAGAGTAAATACCTTATCACCGTAAGTGGAGAAGAAAATTGCTTGAAACTACAATTCCTAAGAGAAGTGTAACAGATAACGTATAGTTTTTCTAATTTTTTACAAATATAATGTAATTCTATACCACTTTATTATATGATGTTTATTATGTATGTATTATTTGGTTGAACAATATTTTCTGCTGGACATCTTCTTCTTTCCCCCTTGTTTTTTTCACGTATATATATATATATGTTAATATGAAATTCTGCTTTCCCTTTGTGTATCTGCCCGACTCCCTCCCTTTGCGTGGTTCCAGTGAGCTGGCTCCCTGTCAGGCAGCGCGGCCCAAGGGGGAGTAACCAGCTGAATTATTGAGAGCATAAAAATGCTGCCGTTAATGGATCCTGAATAAACACACTGGCTTTGCTGCTGATGGCATCTTCTGCTGCCACAGGGTATCAAAATGAAAACACTGAGGTTGAGGATGCAGTGACTTGGGGCTAATTTTGAAGCTTTGTTTGTGACCGACAACAGCCATGGCATTCACGATCCATCTAAAAGCTTTTGGGGTATGTTTTATACAATTAATGACAGAGCATATGTGAGCAGGGAAAAAAGAAAGGTTTTACTTTTATCCAAACCAATGGAAACGCAGCAACGCAGACCACTTAAACACGTTTCACTCCTGGTCAGTTTTATTCTATTACAAAACAGCAAGTGGAGAAATGATTGTTCTTGTCTGTATTCTTGTGTAAATGTTTCAGTGTATTGTGCCTTTGTTAGCTGAGTAATTGTGCAGGGCCTTTGGTGGATCCCGCTGCAGCACCACGTGTAAAAATAAAGTAGCACACACCATTAAGTTTCAAGATAGTGAGAGATTATGAAGGCAACCGTAGATTTATGTAATGAGCTACGACTAAAGTCTTAAGTAAGTGTGTGTGGGTTTGTACATGGGTGAATGTCTTCACTCCCATTTAACTACTTCTGGATCAAATTCCAAAGAGGGATCCTAGCAGGGTGTCATCATCTTGGTTCTGCAATACTGAACACACTTCGAGGGAAATGTGAAGAGATGCAAATTAAAACACAAATGGATAGGAGAACACAAAAAGGACTGAAAACTGTCCCTGCAGCACACTGGCATTTTTTAAATTATGACTCAACAGAAAATCTGTGTTGTCGTCTTTTTCCTGATGCATCGTGTACTTGTTAAGGAGCGCGAGCAGAAAAGGTGATTGTTATTCCAAGAGGAATAGAAGACGACGTCTTATGTAAAAGCCATTATGGTGACACCCATAGGCAAAACACTCGCAAATGCTTGAATAACAGAATTTATTCAACTGTCAATTTGTTCTCATTGTAACGTCAATGTACATTATTAAATGTGATCTGACAACTCAGACTCTCCTGGGAATGCATGTAGGTATCCAGGGTTTTTCCCCCTTTGTGTAAGCATCTGTTTTGATGGAAGTGTATTATAAATTAACTGTTAAATGTGCTATGATTATTGACTTGACAGCAGCATATTACACAGCTACCAAAACATGGTCTGATTGCAGCTTTAATTTGCCACAGTGAGCTTGGTTTTTCTGGATGCGCTCGGCTGAGGCGAGGCAGAATTCTGTTGGTAAAATTTGAGTAGAAAAAGCAAATCCTTCAGGAAAATTATCCCTAAATAAAAGCTTTCCCAAATTCCCTGCATCAGTTTGCGTGTACCCAAAATCAGTCTCAAATCTCAGGTCAGAAGCTCCAAAAATAGAGGCTCCTGCTGGCCGTGGGCTTTACTACCATCTTCTGCTCTTTCCACAGCACAGCATTTTGCAAACAGCCCTATCAGATGTCAGAATGCACCCACCAGGCATCTTCTCAGCGTGTGACTGCTTCATGTTTCTTGGAGCCCAAAGGCAAGATTTTATGTGACCACTATCCCAGTAGATTTCACAGCACTGTGTGGCATTTTCAGACAGATACATCATTTAAACATGTGTGAACATAATCTACTGAGGGATATTCCAATCAACGTTTTGTTTAAAAACACCAGGCTTACAGCCAAGCTACGGAGCCTACCTTCTTCTTGTCTCTCATGGAGCTCTTTCCTCGCACCATGATTTTGCATCCTGTTTCTGCTTCCAACTGTTTGGCAGTGAGTCCCCGGGGACCAAGGATTCTCCCCACAAAGTTGTACTGCAGACAGAGAAAAAATAAAGTGGTGAATACAAAGCACTCAAATTTAATTTACATCAGGATTGTAGACATTCAAAGTGTGTACAGATTCCACTTATCAGCTACGGCGGCTATAATGTAAACCTAATCTTTATACTTTACATGATGTTTTTCGAAGGTAAAGCAAAGTTGGTGACTATTAGCCATGATCATTTCTTTTTTCAAACACTCAACCTCCTTTACCTTATCAGTTCTAAGAAATGTCAAAACCCTCTCCAGCTTTAAATAAAATATTAAGTACGGCAAAACTGTCTGGGGCGGGAAATAAAGGGAGAGGAGGAAAAATTGGGCTTGAGAGGCGGTTAATGGAAATGATAAAAGGGGGATTTGTGAGGTGACGGACTATGATTGAAACAAGTTTCTTATCAAGGATGCCTTTCCCTGGCACGTGGCTGCAGAGCTTTATGCCATAAGGAAACATATTTACAGAGTAATCCTCTTCACATGAAGCAGGTTTCCAACGAGGGAAAAGTGTGTTAAAATAATCCACCGTAATTTTCAGCCAAAATGACAACAGAAGGAAGACAAGAGCTTTGTGATGCACAAAGAGGTAAACAAACCATCTGCACACCAACACTGCAAGTAGAGGCTGGTTGAGACCAGGGCAGGTGAGATTAGAACTAAAATATCACTTTTCTGAAAAAAGAAGCCTGAATTTTACAAACACGCTCAGTAAAACACTCCATCATCAGAAGAACAACCGTTATGTGCCGGGGCATTAACAGCACTGCATTAGATTCTTGAATAGTCACATCTACTTTCACACTCGACTGCCCCACTGCCCTGTAAAATTCAAAAGGCCATCAAAGAAGTCTCATTTAATTACAGAGGGATTACAAACTTAACACAATGTTGCCATCTCTCCACTGGAAGATATAAGAAAATAAAAAATAAATAAATAAACACACAAACACCATCATAAACTGCAGGCTGTTGTTTTTCTTGTCGCCGTCGGTGAGCTTTCCCGCATCCCGAGTGCGTCCCTAAAGGAAAAGATGAACCCTTTTTGCTGGAAACACGCTGGCATCCCTGTGGATAATGGAAGCATGCAGCGACACGGGCTTTGGGCGTGCTTCTCTGTCACAAGGCAACTGTCGGTTTGATTAACCAATCGGGGAAACTACTGCAAGGCTACATTTTAGAGTGCGTATACCAACAGAGGGATGTAAGGACACCTGTCCTCGGAGGTCAGCCACCAAAGAACTACATGAGCCTGCTTCTGACTCAAAGGTAAACACAGGCACAGCCTTGAGGTGAAGAGAAGGGAGAGCTGTCCGGCTGCATCATAGTGCCAAGCAAACACGGGTGAGCCCCTTGCTCTGGGGTTTACACTGGTCCTCCCACACAACCCACACATGCACGCACACAGCCTCTAACCCAACAAACTGCTGCGGCAGTGACAATGCGATGCTTTGGGTCGTATAATTCAGCCCCTTTTGCTACCACGCTATTATACCTGAAAAATGCTTAAAATGATCAGGTACTCAAAGGGTGGAAAAATCTACATTTAAATGTATGTTTCTGTGCGGATATGACATGCGACAGATCCCATGAGCCTTATAGGATACAAAATCTTCCATTAGCCCAAATCCCAATGGATCTACACATCATGAATATATTAAAAAGATACAGAAGATAAATTACACATCCGGCTCGACACATCAAACGTGGTAGAGAAGAGGAAAATTTATATCTGATTTAAACTGAGGAAGGAGCTGAGTGGAAAATCCTAAAATACAGAGAGCATCCAGCAACTTGTTCTCTGTTCCTCTCACTGCTACTAATAACACATCAGAGCTGAGCCAGAGAGTATTCACTGCAGACTGAAGTGCTGGCAAAACTGCCCTCGATATACAATCGAGGCCTTATTGAGAAAAGTAGACAAAGATAGAAAAGGTCCTGAGAGTCTTCAAAGGTCTAAGGTTTGTAGAGTCCGGTTCCATTTTGTGGTGATTCAGGGATGTGGGGAGTGTACACACACTCTCACACACACACACACACACACACACACACACACACACACACACAAATACACTCACACTCACAAAATAGATATCCGATTTTAATATACACATAGCAAGACTGCTTCAAATATTTCACCACCAAGAAGAGGTTTTTCAACAAATAACTGACAGTAATTAATTAAAGTTGGACAATTAAATTTATATTAATTCTTGCTATGATCCCTCATTTTCTGCTCAGGGTTTTATATTCATTTCACGGCTGCTGTAATGCTGTTAGACGATGTGAGCATTATTTCAGGTCACTGGGATGTGGAGACGATGAACATCCAAGAAGGGGGAAGCAACCTCTTTCTTTAAGGTTTCAAGTCCCTGGAATCTATGATAGGCAAACTTTGTTCCTCCTGTCTCTGTCTCAGTTCCATTCTATCAGTTTTCTCAAAGTTTCCTTCGCAAACACACACCCCTATACTAAAACACAATTAACGTGCTAATGCAAAAATAGACAAGACACAAACTTATTTCCACACAAAGTGCCCATTAGGACAAGGGTTTACACTGACATTAAAGGGCCTTTGTTTAGCCACAGTTATCGCTACTCCACAGACGGGTTATGTTGTGAGCATACACTCTCTGCCCCTTTGTATGAGAGTGTGTGCGAAACATAAAGCATGGAGTGAGCCGATACAGACGCACTCGGCTCCCAAAGCTGATTGTTGTACGAGTTTGTGTGTGAGGCACTCTGGTTTGTTTTCTTATGTGTGAACAACTGAGAAACAACAACAGTACACCCAACAATGCTCCCAGAAGAACAATCGGGTCTTTGACTGCATCTGTTTGTGGTGGAGAGACAGGAAATGAGATCATGGTAAGGGCCCTGGATGTGTGAGCTGAAGGCTTATCGAAGAGCGAGGCCAAGCCAGGGGGAGAATACCAATCATGTATTAGCCAGTCAGACTTACAGAAATAAGAAATGGTTCATTCAGTGCAATGCATCAAAGCCAGTCAGAATCTGGTTACACAAGCCCCATCATCTCGCTCCTGCTCTCAATCTCCCTCCATATTTCCACTTGTATTATGAGATAATGAAACTTTTTATTACTGCCAAACTTATTCTCCTCATTTCTTTGATGGAGTCTGTCTCTGATATTAGATTAGTGTGTTTTATACTGAAGAGTGAGTTGAACAACACTCGGGTCGACAAACCAAAATATCCTCCTACCCTATTGAAAGATAGACCTTTCTCTACATTATCCTGTTCTTCTGGCTTGGTCCAATTGCAAGATCTTGCCTTTCCTCCTCTGCTAATCTGTCATCCCCCCCATCGCGTAATAGTCTGTCAGAGCACAGATCAATCTTTCTCTTTGAATACACACAACCTCTTCCGCAAACAGCTGGCTGCCTCCCTTTAATCACTCGTTCACCCTCAGGTTGAGATGTCATTCAATTAGTATCGTTCAATTAGTCAATCGCTCTCACCGCTGGTTTATCCCCCACTGCTCAAAACAAACAGAACCATTTCAACCAACTAAAAAGAATGGATGCAAGGGATATGGGATCAGTTCCATTTTTATCAATGATGTGGTGCAGCTGCAATGAGCGAGTGGAAAATTAACACCAAGACTCCCATCGTGACATTTTTCACCTTAAAGCCGGTAGACTTCAAAGCTCCCTTCTCAGCATAGCCAGCATTTAACATCTAATCCATAGCTACATTTTTTAATGCCGTTTCAGTTTATTTTCGGGGTTGTAGGCAGGGTGGAAGTGCAGAGAAGAGATGCTGGAGAGACACACTGCGTAAATATGGATGTTTTCAGTAAGTCTTGAAGACAGAATCTCTAGCATAGAAAAAATAAGCAGATGACCCAGAAGAGAAGAAAACACTCAGGAACACGCCAAAATGTGATCTAACCTCTCTTATTCTTTTTAATGTTAATTCATCTTAAAAGCGGGAACAGTGCCCTCTGACAAATCTGAGAAATGTGTGGTAAATGCTGCAGATGGTAAAGGAAATAAAAAACCTTCAAGCTTGTCACACCACATTTTTGGACTGGTTTTAATTCAGGTGAAATGGCAAGGTTGCACTAGTTTCAGCTCATTAACACTTGGCTTGTTCATTCCTGCTTGTCGTTTGTGGCCCATTCATCATCTCAAAGCCAGTAAGGTGTCCGGTAAAAAGCCAATCATAATAACACATCTATACAACGCAGCCTGTGTAGCCTGACTGTTACCTGGCCAATATCTTCATTATCCTCTGTGTAGCGGCTGTCGCAGAGGGGTCCTTGTTGTTGGGGTATTTGTGAAGCAGTTAAGATTTCTTATGAATAGTTTGTTTGAGACAAGGCCAGATGCTGTTCTGAAAAAGCTTTACCTCTGAGGTAATAAAATACCTCATCTTATACCCATCTCACATATTTTCAACGTCAAAAAAGGACAGATCCTTTTTTCAATCAAACCAATCAATGTTGTACTGACCTCAGACATCCTCTAGCAGAGGGATCTAGTATGTGCATGCTTTATCTGATGCTTCAGATAAAAGCTGACACTGTGTCCCCTGAGCTGCCTTTAATCCAAATGTGGTAAACCCGTTTCCTTTGTCCTTCATTCTCATTTTTCACATCTATGCTTCTCAGCTTAACAATGCCCAGATGGACAGGACAAACAATCACAGGCCGCCATACACTACATGTACACAAGCACAAGCCGGTGACATGCAAACTGTGGTTAGATGTTTATCTAGAAGTGCACTGAGAGGTTTTATTGTTACTGTGTGTCAAGTTAACGGACCAAAGCAAAGTAAAACATCTTAAAAATCAACACCTTATCTAACTACTAGCTCATCCCTTCATCTAATTATTGTCTTCATGTATGAGTGCAGATATGAAAATGGTCCAGTCTGCTACTCTCCGAGGTGAGGTGAGTGGCAGAACAGTGCAAGTATTGGTAATGACTTAAGGGGGTCAGAAGGATATCAGGAGCTGGCATGATAAGTGATGACACCCTCATGGGAACACGTTTAATGACTTTGCCTGTGCACAGAATGGGCTGGTTCGGCTGGAGGATTTTTCTGCAGTGGATAAGAGCCACAGACCCCTTTTTTTTCTTATAAGAGAAAAAACATCCATCTTAAGTTATTCTTAAGATGTAGATTAAATACAAATATGCATGCATGATAATCAAATATGACCACTTTGTTGCATCTGGTTAAATTATTAGCATTTTAAAGAAAATATCTTTACTCATAGATAGGCATCACAACTTTTAAATCTATAACAGTTAAAACAGATGAGAATATCTAATAATGGTCTGATAATGTAATAAGAAAGCACAGTGCTGCTGACTTCCCACCTCTCTCTTTTTTACTATACTGATAAACTATCATTACCTTTGCCATTATCATTAAATAATGTATAACATGCTTATTTCAAATTCGTCAGAGCTGCTGTAGCTCAGATAGTTCTGTTTACCAGTTGCTCAACAGCTTACGTCTAACAGAGGGTCTTCTTTCACAGAGTCAGCGAAGCAAAGGGAGTTTCTACGTACGCATGTTTTCAGTTCTCAGTAGTCCTAAACAGTCACCGAGTGACCCACATAAAACCCAAGTGGCCATTCAAACTGTTAGCAAATACAAATACGCTGGGGATAAAGCAGAAACAGAGATGCATTTGAAAGACATGTCACAATCCTCACAGATTCCTGAAGGTCAACGGAAGTGACATGCTGAGCTGTCAGTCAGCTGCCTATCAATGCACGCACACCCTCACACCCGTGTGTGTGTGTGTGTGTGTATGCTCAGAGAAGCAAAGCTTCAGATAGCATTTAATTGAAGGTTGAAGTTATCAGATAGCCTGCGACTGAGCTGTCAGTCAGGATGCAGTCACCACGGTGACGCTTTGCAGTGTTCTGCACCACAGACGACATCAAGAAATGGATGACTTTTAAGAATGGGGAGGGGGTGGACTGGGTAGACAGACTGAAAGATAGAGACGCAGTCATACTCACAAACACATTTGCAGACTGATTTGAGGCCAGAGGAGGGACACACTTAAGGGAACTTGGGTTGGGGTGTGCTGGCGAGTTATTTTGGTAGAATCAACATACTGCTCTGCATCCAGACACCAGGGCAATCTAATTATCTGCTGGTGAAACCTGAACAGGGCACATAAAGTCATTCTGACAGAGAAAGCCCCATGGTGAGCGTGACCTAAGCTTAAGGATGTGGCAAGTAAGAGTCCAAGTCATGTTTTTAAATCAAAGTTTAAATTGAGAGGGAGGAAATGAGATTTCAAATGTTTAAAATGATGAGGAGATAGGAGGCATGCAGCCAAAGCTCCTATGGAAGGTGAGGTCACGCTGAAAATACAATCTGAGAAGTCTTAAGAGAACGCACACATGATTCTCCGAGACGGCCCCCGAGATAAAATCAGAAATGTTGATTCTTCATGGAATGCATTAGTCTTTGCTACAGTTGTTTCTCTTTAAGGATACAGATGGGAAGTGACATATTCGTCCACCACACCTTTGTTATTTCTTCCTTATTCCTCCCTTTTCTCACTGATGTTATGTCATTCCCTCCATTTCACACCTCATCTTCCCCGAAAACAAACTGGATATAGATACTGTGCCCCACCCTGCTCACTCTAAATTACTCTAAACCAAAAAAACAAACATAGAAACTCTGTAAATGAGTAAGTTAGCTGTACACCATCCTTTCACTCTGTATTTGTCTACTGCTTAAATAATTAAAGCCCTAAATCTAATTCCTTTTCTGCCAACCCCACGAGCGGAACATTTCAAAGGGCTGCGAGAACAAAAGATTATCTGCCTCTGTAAAACTGGTTGCATTCAACAATTCTCAAAGACAGATGTTGGCATCTCCACAAAAGTGTTTCATTACAGCAAATTTTGCACATGAACCCAATTTTACAAGAGATAAGACTTTTTGTACTACTGCTGATTTCTCCTGGTACCCTCTGTCTGGCACTTACCACTTTCCCCGGTGACTTAACACATATTCAGTTTGTAAAATAAGAACGAGAAAGGTTCCTTTGTAATTTGTGTCTTCTTTGCACTATTTGGTTGTCCACATTACTGTGTGTTTCACTGCTAAGGTCATCCAAAAGTCATCTTGTCCACCAGAGGAAAGCCAAATTAATGTAGCAGCTTTCTCAACCGTTTCAACACAATATGAAGTTACAACCCTGTTGTGCACAGAGCAGCACAGCGAGCAAAGGGTTGTTTGCCACGCTTCCCAATATGTGTGTGTAATTCTATTAATGCCGTACATTTGGGAGGAGTGTGCACTGTTCCAACACGTTTACACAAACCTGTCTCGTTTTTCTGAGATGCTTGTTGTTGGTTGACAGAGATTCAATAAAACCCACTCACAGACCGACAGTTCCACACAAACCGTAGTGATGTCAGCTGTAATGAATTACATGTTTCTATGAAAAATGACATCAGTGGGGCAGTCCCAGTTTCTGATTTGCCCTTTAAGATAACTAGACATCTTGTAAAAAAATATCTGGTGCGCAGATTTTGTGGCACGACGTATGGAAAGTGTCTATCTATCATATCCAAAAAGGTGTAGATCCACTGGTTAAACTAAATGCAAACTATAGTGCCAAAACTATCATGGAAATTCTTAACATTTTTGCCAATAATACAAGAAAGAAACTTTAAGGTCAGAGACAAGTGAAAATACATGATTTGAAAAGCTAAGTCACTATGGATGAAAAGTGAAAGACAGACCAAAAGCAGCTGATGGATTAAGCCTTTGCTGATCTGAGGGTCAGCTGAGCTAAGCTTTCTGCCACTTTCTGCTGTCTTTTATCATTTCTGTTTATGCAATCCATACCTGGCTGGGCCTGCTCTACAGTGCCTCTTATCCTTTGCCACCTCCCTCCATTCACTTCCTCACTGCAAACTGCTGGGATTATGAAATGCAACGTTGCTTCACAAGATGTGACACAATAGTTGTGCGTGTCACAGCTGAGGCTGAGAGTGTGGTTGGCTGACTGGTTAAAGCCTTGCACATTACAAGATTTTACACAAAGACACATGCACACTTGTAGTTGTGCAGACAAGGTCTGTGTGGGCTTCTTTTGCTCTGTATTAAAGTCATCCCCTTCATCCCTGTGGCTATCATCATATGTGCACTACATTGCCTTCTGTCACAGCAGAGCACATTTCTGTCACAGAAAACCAATCTAAACCTCTTTTCCAACTAAACAAAAGACTAAAAGACCTCAACAGTTTTATAGGTAAACTGCCCATAAACCAAACAGATTAAGTATATCAATGTGATACAGTTTTAACAGTGGAATATCAATGCTCCTGGCACAAACGCCATGAGTCCAGCAGGAAGTGCACAAAGTGTAGAGCCGTGTTTATCAACCATCCGTGGATAAATGTATGTGTGTACTTACATCTGGGTACTCTTTGACAGGCACAAACAGTTTTTCCTGCTGGTGAATTATGGGTCCGATAGCTTCAGGCAGCTCCAGCGGGTGTCTCTCCACAAGACCATTCGCTGTGTCGCTGTACATGTCTTTTCGCACTCGGTTGATCTCTGAAACACAAAAAAGTAATATGTGTATTTAATAGGGGAATAACAGCAGGATGTGGATACCTCCGCTTTTTTTTTATTTTCCTGTAGAAAAATGCATACTAACCCTCCCCCCCAAAAAAGAGAAGAAAAGACAAAACATTGGTGAATGCATAACATTTTCCTTGGGTTATTAACACAAGTACAATATTATTAAAACGGGGTATAAAATGCTTAACTATGGCTTCCTAATGATTCTGTGTTTTTGTGCACTTTAAGTGCTTTGGGTGAAAGCTACAAAGGATTGGTTCTTTTCCTTTCCTCAGTCAGTCTTCCATGTGAGCTGCTGAGAATATGATCAGCTACACCAGCGGGGAAAAGGAGAAATTCGTCTAGGCATAGGTATAAGCTGTCTTTAGATCTGATCCCTCTGTCAGATAAAACTAATGGACCTTTCGCACTCACATGCCACTGCCAACAGAGACCACCATTCCTTTCACACACGCTCACCTCCAGTTCACGCATGTCCCATTTTTACCGCCACTGAAGCCCTTACAAACTCAGACACCAGAGGAATGTTGTGAAGGGAAGGCTAGGGAAAAGCCATAGTTCTGCCCACGGGCCTGTGTGTCAATACGTGTGAACATGTCACAGTAGGATGAAGATCAGCGGCTGCAGTTGTAACAGATATTACAAGATGACACACTAAGGTTGCACTTCTGTCTCCCACTTTGGCATTACTGTTAAATCTTGGGATCACTGAACCAAAAGGGGTCAGGGAAATATAAAAAAAGAGGACTCTACAAAGACACTTTACAAAACAACTAAGACTCGTACGAGGCGTGGCTGGTGGGGCCTAGAGGAAGGATGTGTGCCTGTGTAGGGTGGAGTGGAGCAGGCATTAGGCCGTATTTCCAAAGACGCTTTTCCCCTGTAGGAAGTGCTAAATTAAACAGTGGCTAACTATAGATGTCCTCAGCTAAAGCTTTCCTGACCTCTAAAATACTGGGGGGAGTTGTTGCATGACGTGGTGGTAGTGTAGTTTAGTAAAGTATTTCCCTGTTTTTTGGGCTGCAATCTTACCACAGATCAGCAGACTCTGAATTCACAACTCTGAAACCGATTCGCTGGGGCCCTAATGAACTGAACGAGGGTTATCTTGGAGCGCTCCAAGTGGCTGACCAACACATTTTTTCCTGATGTGGTCACTGTGCAACAGCTGTGTGAACACATGCTGAAGATATTGAACAGTCTTCTGACTTGTTTGTTCAGGTCCAGAGCAACTCCTTCTCAGGCTACAGGACCTCAGTTCTCTTGGGTCAGGACATACTCCCAGTTCCTCCCAAAAAATGAAATCATCTTCCTGGTATGTAACCCTGACAACATATTACATCAGTCCTAACTCATACGGCAGTTAGGCCACATTTTGGCTTTACTAGTGGGGCTTAGCATTGACATATATTTCAGAGATCTGAAGAAGTCAAACACAGACAAGTTTAAACAAAAACAGGAAAAAAACAAGTGTTTAAACCTTGAACATATTAGTCTAGCCTTAGGAAACATATCTGTAATCACTTTAAGGTCTACTAAACAACAAGCAATTCCTTAATTCAGTGCATGTATATCTTATGAGCGTATAATACATTGATTGCCTCTTAAACACAATACATTTGGGGGGGGGGGGGGCACATCCATGAGTCCAAATATTATAGAAAGTCAATTGCACAATTTGCCTTGTAAGATAGGACCAATGTATGCTAGACCACTTTTTTTCTTTTAATTAAGGCAAAAACAAAGAATTATTCACTTGGAAATGCAACCCAACGAGCACCAGCATCCCTCTAATTTATATTTCCTCTTGCTGAAATGTCACATTAACATAAAGGGGGCTGAGCCGGGTCTATCAATGGAGACGTGCGGCATTTGACAACCTCTAATTTTAGTGCGGCAACTCTGTTCTGAAGTGTTGTGTTCACTTAAAAATTACCCCCTTGCCTCACACAGCCGAAAATCATTTATCTATCTGTCCACCCCAAAAGGCCGACGAGCGTGCGCATGAGGAAGGGGGGGAGGGTGTCACTATGAAGAGAAGGACACTCGAGGAAAAAGGAGAAGGGGAAAAAACAGGAGTGAGACAGGGCCTTCAAATAGGAACTTTAATCTAACTGCAGCATTACATGACTGAAAGCAGCTCAATGTGCCACTAACCACCTGACTCAGCATATCCTATAGCCCCCTGTCAGAACTCAGTTCACCTGTGGAGAAAAAAAAACTAATACTTTGGACATTTTTCAGAACAAAACAAGAGAGTGAAAGAAAAAATAACTGCAAGCATGGTTAGAGGCCATGGAGTGTGTTTGGTTTGATGAGACAACGACAGAGGAGAGATGGAGAATTGTAACCCCGGTGCTGAGCAAGCAGGGTGGGGATGTATTCCTCTTTAATGGTAATGGTCTTTTTTTGTCTCCGTCTGAGGTAGAATATGTCTCATTTCTCATTTCTGATTTATTGTCAAATCCCCAGTGAAAAAGAAAATGGTACAGGGCCTGCAGACCTATCTGCACTTTGTCAAATAAACAAATTATTTCTCCTCATGGTGATGAAAGTACCCAAAGGGAAGGGTGTAGCAGAGGAGAGTGTTAGGCAAAGGGGTTTAAGGCCTGATGGATTAAAATCCCAGTCTTGACCCTTTTGTTTGGAAACACAATGTTAAGCTAAACGCTGCTCATTTACTTTGATCAGATCTTTAAAAAAATAAATAAAAAATCACTTTTCACAATCAATGAAACACACTTCAGTAGATGTTTAGCTCAGTTAACACAGTACAGCTCATTTTATTTTTACATATACTGATTTAAATAAACAGCTACAGTGGTCAAGAAATTTGCATTCTTGACCATCCAATGTGAAATCAACCACTGTGTAATCATTTCCCACTGGGATTATAAAAGTATTTCTGATTCTGATTTTGTAATGGCTCACAGCCCCTAAACCCCCGGATCAAGACCGAGTCACAGTGGGAAGTCTTGCGAACTAGATTTGGCAACTTTTGGACCTCTTTTAAGAACATGTCGGCACCATTAACATCAAGCGGTTTGAAAACCGCTTGATCAAAACCTCATATGCTTTCTGTGGAAGACTATGTCCCGCGCACTGCACCCATTTTGTGGCAACATAAAAAAACAATGAATGAGGATATCAATAAGTGACAAGTATGTTGCAAAATATTGGCCTTTAAACCCCCACAGGAATAAGTTCTGGGGGAAACACTGATATGCATATTCTGAGACTAAGACAGAGAGTTTCTAATGTTGCATCGACACTAGATCCTATTCGTGTAAACACAGCGTGAATCGACACACCAAAGTGCAGAGAGAGAAAAAACAGAGAGCAGAGCTGAATTAAAAACAATGAACAGGCCCACAAAGAGATGCTGCAATCAGGTTAAAGACAGGTGAACATCATTCAAAGGGACCTGCTCCATAAGAGAATGAGAGCAAGTCTATTAAGAGGCCAAAAATAGACATGCTCGACAACTGCTTTGTCCTCACAGCAAAATGTCCTCTGACCATGCAGACAGACGCAGCCCGAGTGTGAGAGGGAGAGCACCGGAGCAAAAAAAGGCTGACGGGACAGGACAGGACTTTGCACATCTTTGCAAAAGATTTGCAAAGACACAAATGAGTGATCAGCTTTGCCTACGAAAAGCTACTTCAGATGACACGTGATGCCCCGAATGAGGCTGATGATATCTGGCACCTGACAGATTAATCTTAAGGCTAAAATGACAAATGACGGTAAACTCTGCTGTCTGAATGAGTCTTTTTAGTTTAGAGTGACCGGAGATACAAGCAAGCAAAGTTTTAAAATGTTATTTTGCTTCCGTGTGTTATGTTTGCCCACTTTATGTTCCCAGCAGCTGTAAAGAATGTGGACCAAGATGAGGTCAACTAAGAAATAATGCAGCACGGCTGAAAAAAAAACTACAGCAATCATTGATGCACCTAAATGTGGCAGAGAGGGAAAAAAGGCTCAGGCGAGAAACAAGCTTTTTCACTTTACAGCTACCAATCGCAAAGCGCCACTGCCCATAGCAATAGACTAGATTTAAGAGTTGAATGCATTCCTGCCCCTTTTTCAGGGCACAGACGCCTTCATCCAAGATGACACCCCACCTTTAACAGTTTAGGGGCAAAGAATGAGAAAGATGGGGCGTTTTTTAAAAGCAGAGTGCCGATGTGTAATGCACATTGGGGTGGGGGGGGGGGGGCTGAGCCACAAATAGTTAGCATTTCAGGGTCTTATCATCAACTCACAGCTTGTTTCTCTGCCATGCGCAACCTCCCTTACTAGTCAGATAAAAAAAAGTTAGCATGGTTTAGTCTTACTCTTGCTTCCAAATTTCTGATTTAAAAGTTGGCTTCATCTGCACAATTGTTTGAAGCTGAAACATAAAAGTATTGCTGCGCTCTTAACGACTTGGCTGCGTTATCAAAATGGTTGAAAACAGCTTTTCTTTAACTTGCACGACACAAATTTAGGTGTATGCCAAAATACCGAATGACTGAATACGTGGCAATGTAAAAACAGTAGATCGCTGTTCAACGTCAGTAAAACTGCAAAAAGGGGACATTTTCAATGTATTTGTATGTATAAACAAGTTAGTCATTGAATAAATATACAACTTAATTATCATAAAAGTTCTTATAATGTAGGAGAGCAGTATCACTGAGGTCCTTATTTTACTTATTTCAATCTAAAGATGCTAGAGTTCATTTTTAAGGATGCTGTTAATTTTCAAACACAAGCTAAACAAGTAAGCCGTTTTTATATCAAGGCCTTCTGCTCAACATAAGTAGCAGTTTAGTATTCCTGAAGACTGAGCAGTGTTCATTAGCAAAGCACTGATCAGTAATGCAGATGGACTAAATATTTATATGTGAAGTTGCATGTCGACAAAATTGGTTGACGGCGTCACTTCAAACGAGCAGCACACACACA